CCCCCCCCGACCTCAGCGTGTCCCCCCTCCTGACTTCGCTTCAGCGTGCCCCCCCGACCCCATGACCTCATGTGCTCTCTGATCTTGTGACTTCTCCTCAGCGTGGCCCCACCTCGTGGTTTCCGGTCTCTGACCACCGATGGCCTCCGTGCTCAGCGTCCGTGGCTGGGCAGGCCCGGCGGCAGCATATTCATTAGATGAGGCCGGGGGGGCCTGCGTGTTGACTGGCGTGCCCCAGGCACGGGGCGGGAACGACGGGCTCTCCCTGCTCTGCGATTGTCCAGGCCCTTCTCACCAGCACCTGTGGGTTTGCTGTGCCCATGTGGGCCCTCTGGGCCCCTGGGTGCCGCTCCCTGCCCTGGGCCCCCGATGCTGCTTTCTCCTTCCAGACTGCCCCCTGTCTGTGGTGGTCCCCACTGACTCTGGCTTTCTCCACTTGAAGGAAGCTTGTTCCTGATGAACCTGCTGACGGCCATCATCTACAATCAGTTCCGGGGCTACCTGATGGTGAGCCAGGCTGCTGTTTCTGCCTGTCTGTGAGGAGCTGCCCCGGGGGGCCAAGCGGGGCACGACCGGCCGGGTGGCCGCAGCAGTGGGGGGTGGCCGGGGTGGGGGTGGGTGGTGGGGTCTCCCAGGGTCTCTGCACTGCCCTCTGGCTCCCTCCTGCACCACATCCTCCCTCCCCAGGCGGCGCTGTCGCCCCAGCCTCCCGGGTTCAGAGGGAGGCCATGAGGTCGCGGCTCCAGGGCAGGTGGCCCCGAGCCCACCCCACCGTGTGGGAGAACGGGGGACCCCAGATGTGCAGAGCAGACGCACCCATCTTAGCCAATTCCGTGGGCCATGAAGAGTGAGGCCCGCTCCCCGGCTGTGGGTGGGCAGGCCGCCCCCCCCGAGGCACTGGGCACGAGGTGGGGGGGTGTACGGCCTGGAGAGGCCCAACCCCAGCACTCAGAGCCGTCTTCCTTGCAGAAGTCTTTCCAGACCTCCCTGTTCCGGAGGCGGCTGGGAGCCCGGGCCGCCTATGAGGTCCTCTCCTCCATGACAGCAGAGGGAGAAGCCCACCGTCAAGAGTGAGTGCCAGGGCTCCCGGGACCCCCTTCTCCCTGAGGGGGGAGGGAACCCCTCGGATGCTCCATAGAGTGTTTCCTGAGCAGCGACTCTGCGCTCCGCTGAGCTCCCTGCGGGCTGGCGCCTGATTTTAGTGCTGCCTCGGAATCACGAGGACGCCCCATCGCTGGTGCTGCAGGGTTCCGTCGTGCTCTGAGTTGACTCGTTTGTCCTCATGACCCCTGCAGACTGTGGGCTGGTGACGGCCAAGTGGCTTTGGCCCTCTCCCTCGGCCTGCGCCCTTCCCGCGCCACTGGCCTTGGGTGTGGGAACCAGGGGGACCTGGGCTGGAGATGGTGTCTGTGGAAGGTGCCCACGCGGTGGCTCGTGAGCCTCCCTGTTGTGTCTCTGTCGTACTGTGCGCCCCCTCTGAGTGCCCGCATGCTCCTCCTGAAGGCGGGACAGCAGGGTCTCTGGGGATTTTAGGTGACGGGATGACTGAAGTGCCCACGGCTGGCTCCTTCACGGAGGCCCTCGTCATTGCCCAGAGCCACTCAGCCGCATGCGGCACAGCTCCGGCCAGAGGTGCGGGCGCCCCGGTGCGCTGAGCTAGCTGGGCTCACTGGGGTGTGGGTGTCTTTTCCCCAGAGTCGGGGTGAGGCCCCAGGACTTCCTGCAGGTGCTTCAGAAAGTCCAGCTGGACAGCTCCCACAAACAGGCCATCGTGGAGGTATTAGGGTCCCCTCTCCCCTTGCCCCCTCCCCAGCCTATGCTTCTGGGCTCTGCCTGAAAGTCACCTCGGCACCAGCCCCTTTCCAGCAGGGGTGTCCTTTCAGATCAGCCAGGGCTGGCCCAGGCCGGGTGGCGTTGGGGACGGTGCACCCTCCTGTCCTGGACCCTTCCTCCTCTGACCCCGGCTGACCTGTGTTTCCCTCCTTTGCAGAAGGTGCATTCCTACGGTGGCGACCTGTTACCAGCTGACGAGTTTCAGAAACTCTTCAATGAGTTTGACAAAAGGGTGATTAAAGAGGTAACTGGGGCCAGGCCACCTGGGGTGAGCTGGGAACGTTAACTGTACCTGTCGGCGTTGATCGTGACTTAATGATCAGTGCCAGGACTCGCCTTCCCACGGATTCTGGCCCCTAGGCTGGTAAATGGGAAAAGAGATGGCTTGGCTCTTGGAAGCTGGGGTGGTTTTGTCCACCTTGTGAAATCCACAGACCACAGGGACTGGCCTGGGCCAAGTCTGACCCAGAGGAACTTTCCAAAGGGTTTTCCCTGTCTCCACAACAGACTCTTATCTGTTTCCGACAAACTCTTACCTACTTCCGTGTGTCCTTCCCCAGGAGGGCCCCGAGTTTGTCCAAAGCCTTTGTTTTTTGTCCTTGACACCGATTTGTAAAGTCACCAGATGGGCCTTGGCATCTAGCTCAGCACTGTGTCCGCAAAGAGCCCTGTTCTGTGTTAAGCTTTCAGTTACTAGTGCGTAACTCTCACGTATCTTTTCACAGAACACTCTTTGTCTCGTGGTGAACACTTTGCGTATATTCAGATGGCCGCCTCGTATTCCATTGCGGTTTACCTGAACAGTCCGTGGCCATTTATGTTCTCTCTAGCTCTCTTTGGTGTTAAAAGGTGACCGTGAGGAACATCTTAGTGTGTGCGACTGTTTCCATATTTGGGATTATTTTGTTAGGCCGGACAGACTGGGATAAGAGGTCGGAAAAAGTTGAATCCCAGAGTAAGGGGGTCCGGGCACTGGTGGGCTCCCAACAGCCACAGCCTCCTGCAGGCTCAGGTTTTTGAGCCCGCATGTGTTCCCTTCCCAGCCCCCACCACGGCCCGAGTACCTGTCTCCCTTCCTGAAGAGTGCCCAGTTCCTTTTCAGCCACCGTTACTTTGACTACCTGGGGAGCCTCATCGCCCTTGGGAACCTCCTGTCCATTTCTGTGAGTGCGGGCTCGCCCTCGTGTGGACATGGGAGGTGCCTCATTGCCCGCCCCCTGGCCCCCTCCCCTCCTCCCAGCTCCCCGACCATGGCCTTGGCACCCGGGCGCTGGGCCGGGCGGGCGAGCTGCCTTCCGCTCTGGCTCTGCAGGTGTTCCTGGTGGTAGATGCAGACGTGCTGCCTGAGGACCGTGACGACTTCGTCCTAGGGGTGAGCTCTGGGGCCGCGCGGGTGACCCGGGAGGCAGCGGGAGTGAGAGGGCACAGCCTCTCCTCCCTGGGGCCCTTCTGGTGCAGAGCCGCTCCTCACATCGTGGGGTGCCCCCAGAGGACAGGGTGCCGGCCCCGGGGAGGCTGGTGCGGTGCAGGTGGGGCTGTCGGCGTCTTCCGGGCTTGTGTGGCCCTGGGATTGGAGCTTTCCCTTCCTGACTGCTTCTCCGCCGGTTCTCAGCCCTTTCTGGAACTGTGAACTCCCTTCTTAACGTTACAAGGTCTTGTTAAACTCCTTAGGAATTTAAAAACAATTTTTTCATCTTGGATTTTAAGCAAATAGCATCAATACCTCCACATTACTCAATGCTGGAACTCTAACAAAGCAGGTATTTTAAAGTTTATTTTAATGAAAGATTTTGTGAACAATATTAAAATGGATGAAAGTGAATAAATTAACTACATAGGAAAAAGCTTGACTTGTCTGATTTAAAACTGACGCAGTATGTCGTGCATATTAAACCTAGAGTAGATTTATTGTAGCATCAAAATGGAAAAAATGGTTTTCCTGACCTGATGCTTGGAATTCCTTTGTATTATCCTTCAAGAAAAGTCCCATTCTCAGATTTCTTATTTCCATTGTACTTTTTTCCCGGATGACACCAGAAAGCTTCAGTCTCCTCCTCGTGAGTAACGCACTGTAGAGGCGGCTGGTTTGTAATTCCCGATGAAGTCAAGTTGGATACAGTTGAGCTATATTTTATCTTTTTTGACAGGAGTTGTTAAGCATGAGGGTCGGCCTGATGGTCTCTGAGAGACTTCTGGTCACATGAATGCGGCATGGGGGTTTTGGGGTTCTTGAAGAGCCCCATCCTTTTCTGCCCCTCGGTAATTGCTCATGGTGCAGGGTCTGAACTGTTCTTCCTGCCTTAACGGCGACCTCTTCACGTGCGTGAATGAGGCAGCACTGACTAAGAATGTGGCACTTAGACTGGACGCTGAGGTGGGGTGGCCGCAGTGGTCATCTGACCCCACGTGCCCCTCCCGCGGCCCTGTGCACGCCGGGGGAGGCTGCCGTGAGGCCCCCATTAAGGGGAGAGCCCCTCTGTATTTTACTGACTGGCTTCAAAAAAGACAGTGAGTGACCCAGTAGTCTGTGGTGACCTTCAACGCTAAGACCTCCTCCGACACCCCCCGGGGGTGCCCACGGGGGAGGCCGCTGCCCACGGGCGTTGTTAGAGGTCGGCCCGATGTTCCCATGGAGAACGGACTGGAGGGGTCGGGGCAGAGAACTGGGGGCGTGGCCTTGGGCGGCAGCCATGGGAGGGAGCGATGTGGCAGAACAGGGTCCTGCAGGCCTAGAAGGGGCGTGGGGCCGGGAGATGGAGGGCCAGGTGAGTGTGGGCTGGGGTGCCGCCGTGCCGGTTTTCCCCAAAGCCAGCGTGGGGTACCCGGTCACCTGAGGGGAGGGTGTGGAGCGGGAAGGTGGGGTGCTGGAGACGCCCCATGTGTGAGGGGCGTGGGCACGGGAAGAGCAGCCCCGAGAGCCCCGAGGAGCAGGTGAGGGGAGGACGGGTGAGACGGGGCTGAACGCTGGTACCTGTTTTCCTCTCTCAGATTCTCAACTGTGTCTTCATCCTGTACTACCTGCTGGAGTTGCTGCTGAAGGTGTTCGCTCTGGGGCTGCCGGGGTACCTGGCCTACTCCAGCAACGTGTTTGATGGGCTCCTCACCGCCGTCCTGCTGGTAAAGTCCGAGGCGCCCGGGCCGCTGGTCTCTCCGGGTGGGTGGTGTGCTCCCTGCGTCCGGCTCTGCGCTCTGTTCCGTCTCGGGCTGTCCCTTGGCAGCGGAGGGCCCAGGAACTTGGGCTCCTCCTGCCTCCAGTGACAGAGGGCTGGCTTTCCCCCGCATGAGCTGCTTGGTGGGCGGCCAGTGGGGGCCGATAGGAGGCTGGGTTTCCACGGCATCGGAGCGTCGCGGGGGCAGGCTGCCCCTCCCGCCCCTGAGGGGGGCCCGGCAGGAGGCCACAGTCCTCGCCGGCTAACCAGCACTGGCCACAGGCCTCAGGACAGTGGGACCTTGCCGCGGGTGGGGGGAGGGCAGGGGGTCTCGGGCACCCTTTCCCCAGAACCCGTGGGAGTGGAGGGTCACGCGTGGTGTGGGTCACGGCAGCCACGCTGGTGCCCCGTGTATTCGTGTTTGCTGGGAGCTGTGGGCCCCTTGGGACAGGAGCAAAGACAGTCTGAGAGAAGGGCCTTCGGTCTGTCCTCGCCCCGGGCCTCCCCCGGGCCTCCGCCAGCCTGGCAGGCGTCCCCCGCCCACACGTGCGGGCCGCTGGCGCCCGAGACCTCAGCGTCTTTCTCGGCCGCAGGAAGCCCCAGGTTTGGAACCAACCCCTAGGAACAAGGACGGAGCTCTGACTTCTCCCGCAAGCCCCCTCGGGGGGAGCGTGTCACGCACGAGCTTTAGAACTCGTTCGAAAGCCGCCTGGATTGGCGTTGCTGTAGCGATGCCTTCTTTTCTTTTGTAATTAAAGGTTTTGGAGATCTCAACTCTGGCTGTGTACCGATTCCCACACCCAGGCTGGTATGTGACTGCAGAGAGCTGAGGGAGGCTACAGCAACCAGCGCCCCACTAGGCCCCAGGGCTGGGTGGCCCGCCTGCTCGGGCTGCTCGGCTCCAGGGCGAAGCGCCCGAGGGTTAGGAGAACAGGCGGCTCGGAGCACGGCCGGCCGAGGGCGGGGGAGCAGACCCCTCTCCTCGCTCTTGGGCAGCATGTCCTAACTTGCCGTCAGAACCGTAGTGTTCCCAGAGTGGGGACAAGCCTCTAGAGGGCAGGGGGCTCAGCACTGGTACCAGGATGGGGCACGCGGCCCCCGGTGTCCTGGGGCGTGGAGACGCCCAGCTTAGGGCTGGGGTGCCCCCTGAGCACTGGAATAGGGCTGGAAGCTGTGTGACGTTGGCTTGTCACCTCCCACTCCGGGCGTCGGTTTACCACCCTGTAAGATGGCAGGGGCCGGGGCTGCTGTTGGAGCTCCCCCACCCTCGCTTCTGGCTGTAGAGCAGTATAGATGTCTGGGCAGGGGGTCCCAGAGCGCTTCGAAGTGTGGCTTGTGGTGGCTGTCAGGTGGCGTTGCCCAGGACACAGCTGCCCAGCCAGTGTGCGTGCTGGCCCCGGGCATCTTGGCCGCCCTGGTGTCTGGGTGTCTTCTGTTCTAGTGGTGCAGCCGGAAGGTGCTGGAGGCGGGGAGTGGGGCTGAAAGACTTGCTTTGGGGTCAGCTACCCCAGAGCCAGCCAGGAAGGGTTTGTGTGGGGCAGACGGGTCGGGCTGGTGCTGTCCTCGATGGTGTGTCGGGGCCTGGCGGCTGCAGGCCCAGCTTCCCTTGTTTCTCAAGTGCCCTGAAGACCCAGCGTGCACTTCTGTCTGAGAATCACAGACGAGCATTGTGCGTGAGAGTGAGTTTCTACTTAAGTAGAAACGAGAGCAGAGTCAGCCCCCGAGGGACACCGAGAGGCCCGGATACAGGCTGGGATGGCGGCAGGGGCTGGGGCCAGGAGCCAGGGTCAGGTGATAGGCATAGGAGATGAGACCAGAGACGGGTGAAACAGGATCGTGCTTCGGGGGCGGGGGGCGGGGGACCGGCTCGGGGACCAGGCCTCTTCTACTTCTGCTGGGACCTGAGCTGGGTGTTGCAGCGTCTGGAACCTGAGTGGTCGGTCTCCCGTGTAAGATGCGGGTTATGATAGCCAGTGCTGTCCTGGGCTGGCAAGTGTGGCCGTCCACGCTCTGTCCTGTACCCGTGACAGAGCCCCCTCCCCGCCCCCCCCACGTGCTCTCTGCGTCTCGTCTGAACACGCCATCAACACGCCTTGTCTTTTTGTTGCCAGCATCTCGAGGCTCTGCCAACCCGTCTCCTGTGTGTCTCTCCAGGAAGCCAGAGATGCTGGGCCTGCTGTCGCTGTGGGACATGGCCCGGCTGGTGAACATGCTCATCGTGTTCCGGTTCCTGCGCATCATCCCCAGCATGAAGGTGCGTGGGCGTCTGACCCCTGGCTGTCCTCCCTCCGTCCCACTCCCACTGCCTCATTGCTCTAGAGAGTGGCCGAGCCTGGGCAGGGAGGAACTGAGACCGGGACTGTCCCCCTGGCCACCTTGGTCCCCTTGGGCTGTGTCCCCAGCCCTCCACTGCAGCTGGCTGATGCTGGAGGGCAGTTGGGAGCTTGAGAGCAGCCCAGCCCAGCTTTTACGGACGAGGAGAGGGACGGCCAGCGCAGGTGGACAGTGGTGAGCCACCTTGGCCAGCCGCAGGGGTGGCTGTGTGCTCTTTGGGGCCCTTGGTGTTTGTGAGGGGCAGGGGCCGGAGCCCTTGGAACCAGCGTGTTCCCAGGCGTCCTGAGGTTTCCAAAAGGCCATTGGTGTAGGCCCTTGGTGGCTTCTAGTAGTAATGAGGGGCAAAAGCACGATTGGCCAAGGCACTCACCTCAGGCCCCCCAGTACAGGAGTGGGGCATGTGGTTGGCTGGGGTGCCAGTCCGCAGGACTCCCAGTCCTGGTGGCATGTGACCATCCACAGGCCTCATTTTCTCTTCAGGTACCCACAGGGAGTGACACCAGCCTTAGGGGAGGGGAGCCGGGGCAGCAGGGCATTTAGGCCCCGCGCTCACCCAGCACAGAGGTAGAGTTCGCTTCTCCTGTCCATTTTCCTAAGAACTCTTCAGGAGGGAAGAAACCAAGGACATCAGAGCCCTCTCTGCGTGGCCAAGTCCTTCCCCTGTGCTTGTCTGTCCTGTCTGCGAAGCCGCGCCCCTGCGCCGTCCCGGGGGGGGGGGGGTCCGTTAGCTAGCCGCACCCCTGTGCCGTCCGGGGGTCCCTGTTAGCTAGCGGACTTGCCCATCGGGAGGTGGCCTGAGGGCGCTGGGGGCAGGCACGCGATCACACGTAACCACACATAAACATGCACGCCCAATCACATTCACGCGGTCATGTGCACGTGTAACCACACGTACGTGATCACACACTGGGGGCACGCCGTCACACAGACTCAAGTCACACGCATACACCAAACGCATATGTGTGAACCACGTGCACAGTCTCACGTGTGCACACGACACGTAACTGTACACGTGCACTACCCTGCACACACACGTGCTGTATGCACACGCACGCACGTAACTGCCCCCATGCAGTGACGCGTACATACACGAGCATGCTGTACACTTGCACATAATGGTGCACACGTGTGCACGGTGGTTTCTATTTGTTAGCATCTAGGGCTCCGATCTAATGTCTCAGGTGGGATAAACGGGCTAATTGGAGAGCTTTTCTCTGGGGCTCAGGTTTGCATGTCAGGGGGGCAGCCCTCTGTAGCTGGGGTGCCTGGGTGGGTGTCTGAGCCCCTTTCTCAGACCTGATCACTAGGGCTGAGCTGGATACCTCAGGTCTGCGCTTCTCCGGAGCCTCCAGACCCGAGGGGAGCTAACCCAGCCCTACTGGGCACTGGGCAGTGTGACCGGAGCTCCTGCCTGCAGTGGCTTCACTGAAGGGACTTGGAACCGAGTCACGTCTGCGTCTGGGTGGATGGCGGCGTCTGTGTGTGGGGTATATGTGAGTGTATATGGTGTGTGTCTGCGTGTGTCTACGAGTGCCTGTGCGGTGCGCGTTTGGGTGCCTACGGGCAGGCAGCCATGGGTGCGTGTACGGGTGTGTGGGTTGGTAGTTCACCGGTCCTGTCGAGCCTTTCCAGGTCAGGGTCAGGGCAGTGGGCAGGGTTGGTGTGACCTCAGTGGGACCAGGAAGAATAGGGCCCTGCTTTCTTTCTGTCCTCAGCTGATGGCTGTGGTGGCTAGTACTGTCCTGGACCTGATCAGAAACATGCGGGCTTTTGGCGGGATCCTGGTGGTGAGTCTGGCCGGTGGGCTCTGGCCGTCGGGGGGGGCGGGCACGCGAGTGGAGCTCGCTGTGGGTTCCGGTGAGTCTGAGCCCGAGGCTGGCTGGCTGCTCTGGAGGAGGGAGGGTCCTGTGTTAGGGGTGACTCTCGGGCTGTGTAGGCCCCGGAGGCCAGTGTGCCCCCCTGCCATTCCCGGGCGCGGACCCCAGGGCTGGTCTGCGGGAAGCGCTGCCCGACCGTGCTCCCTTTCCGTGCCAGAGGTCCGTTGGTCACTTTTTATTGCTTCACATATTTTGGATCGCGGGCCATACTGATACACTGATCTTACTTCATTTATTTATTTATTTATTTTTTAAAGATTATTTATTTATTTGAGATAGAGAGCACGAGCTGGGAGACAGAGGCAGAGGGAGAAGCAGGCTTCCCCTGAGCAGGGAGCCCGACGCGGGGCTCGGTCCCAGGACCCTGAGATCATGACCTGAGCCGAAGGCAGACACTTAACCAAATGAGCCACCCAGGCGCCCTGAGACACTGATTTTAAAGAGGGATCCCGGAAACCCATGTAGACCCCAGATGGGAGTTTTGGTCAGCCCTCCTTGTGCAGAGGGATCCTCAGGAACTCCCAGCCGTGTTGGCCGAGCGAGAATCATGGCATCCCCCAGCTCTAGACCCAGCCTTGCCACTGAGGTGCTGTTGACTCTGCCCTGTCGCCCAGCCCAGGGGGACCCCTGGTGCTGCTCTAGGCGTGAAGCCCTGCAGAGGAAATGGAGGCCCAGAAGGGACTGGGTTAGCCCGGGGCCTGTGCCCCTTCCTTTTCCCCCTGGCATGTTGGGGAGAGGTGGGGACAGGTGGAGGGCCACGTAGCCTCTTCTGTCTGTGGCATGAGACCGCTGGGTGGTGCTCCTTGCACGTCACCCCCTGGAGAAGCCTGGCCAGTTCCTACCTGCCCCTCCCCTGGGACCCCCTTCCCCTGGGACCCTCTTCACCTCGGACCGCCCAAAGTAGGGGTCCTTCTCACCGCTCTTCATGCCACCCCTGTCCTGGAGAAGGGGCCAATAGCCTCACTTCCTTGGCCCCTGGGTCTTTCCCCTCGGCTCCCAGCTTCTCTCTGGCTGCCCTGGTGGTGGTGGCTCCCTCCTTCCCTCTGGGGCAGGTTGGCCGCCAGGACACGGTACTCGGGAGGAGAGGCCCCAGCGTTCCCTGGGGGAGGCCAGCGGTGCCCGTGGCTGGGGGCAGCGTTGAGGGCTGGGAGTGTGCCGCTCTGTGGGTCCGTCTGCCGGTGGCGCTGAGCAGACCTGGCCCCGCCTCCCTAGGTGGTCTACTATGTCTTTGCCATCATGGGCATCAACCTCTTCCGTGGTGCCATCATGGCTCCTGGAAATGGCAGGTGAGGTGGGGCCCGAACATGCCAAAGGGAGTGCCTCTGGGGGTGCGGAGGAGTGTGAGGCTGGGTGGTGGTGGGGGGCGGGCTCCTCGGGGTGGGGGGCTCTCCTTTGTCTCCCCTCCCTCCCTGCCCTGCCAGATGCCCTCACCTAGCGTCTGTACCGAGAGTGTTTCTGAAGCCGCCTCAGCGCTGCAGCCCCCACCCCCACACCCTGTTTGGGATCTTCAGGCCTGGCCACAACGCTGGTGGCGGGTGCCCGGAGCCAGACCTGGGTGCCGCGGTCTGGAAGCTCCGTTTCCCGTGTGTGTCTGGAGCTCTTGGCTCCTGGCTGCTCTCACAGCACCTCCGGAGATCGGGGGCCCTTCTTTCTTCCTCTGACTTCTCGGGGCCCAGCGGGGTCCAGCTGCGCAGGGGCCTGAGGCAGTGCTGGGGCGTCCCGGTGTCTGCATCCCGGTTCCCACCCCTGACCCAGCTCGCCGTGTCGCCGCAGCCTGGCCCCTGACAACAGCTCTGCACCCTGCGGAAGCTTCGAGCAGTTGGAATACTGGGCCAACAACTTTGATGACTTTGCGGTGAGCCCTGCACCCCCTGCTCCTCGGGACTCCCGCCCTCCCGTCGCACTCCCCCGGCCCTGCTGGACCCTGTGTCTGCCGCCCTGCAGGCCGCCCTCATCACTCTGTGGAACGTGATGGTGGTGAACAACTGGCAGGTGTTCCTGGATGCCTATCGGCGCTACTCGGGCCCGTGAGTGACCCCGGCCGGCAGGTCCCCCCTGCCCCCATCACGGTGCAGCGTGAGCCCAGACGGCCGTGCGGGTGCATGTACTATGCCCTTGCCGCTGACTCTGGGTTTACCCCTTCTGGTGATGGCTGGGGGTGTGGCTTCTGGAGGATTCCCTGGTGCTGGGAGCCCTGGAGGCGGGCTGAGGGAAGGAGAGGCCTGGAGCTTGGAGAGCGGATGGTCCTGGGTTCGAATCCCAGCTGCACCTCTCACTGGCCGTGCTACCTTGGCCATTCACTGATCGCTTCTGAAAGCCCTGGTCGGGTCGCCTCGAAAACAGGAGTGGGGGCGTCACAGAGTTGCCGGGCGGACTCGCGGAACGCTCCTGCTGCATGCGTCATTGTGGTGTCCCATCTCGCACCGCTTACGGCAGGCCACGGCTGGCTTTCCTGCCTCCACAGGTGGTCGAAGATCTACTTCGTGCTGTGGTGGCTGGTGTCGTCTGTCATCTCGGTCAGCCTGTTTCTGGCTCTGATTCTGGAGGTATCCGAGACCCCTGCCTGGGCTGCCTCAGGGGTGGTATCTAACTTGCAGAGGACCTGGACCGGCCGTGCTGGGGTTCTGGCTTAACGCTGCTTGCCCTGGCTGCTGGGGGCCTCTTAGAATGCCCTTGACATTTGACTTGTGGGGGTTCTCAGCCCCTGGGCGGGGCTGGGGGAGGCCCATCAGGCATCTGGCTCCTGCAGGAGTCAGCGGCCTTGCAGGGCCCTGGATCCCAGCGTCTGGGAGGGGCTCGGCTCCCTGCAGTGGGTTGCCTTGCTGACACTGGAGGGAAAAAGGCTGGTTCATGTGGGGCTCACACCTGCTGGCCATGCTTTCTCCTCCTGCTTGCCAGAATTTTCTTCACAAGTGGGACCGCCGCAGTCACCTGCAGTCCCTTGCTGGGGACCCGGACACCACCTGTCAGAGGAGCGTGGAGCTCTTGTTTAGGTATGTGGACGAGGAAGGGGCTTCTGCTCTGGGGGGAGGAGGAAGGGCAGGCGAGGTGGGGAGGGGTGGGTGGGCGTCCTCTGTGACAGCGACACTCCCTCCCACCAGCTCTGAGTCGGGATCAGGGTCTGGGCTTCCTGCTCCCGGGGCTGTGAGTGCTGTCCTGCCTCCCGATGGGCATGTTTAAGACCCTGTTCTCAGGTCCAGTTAGTCTCCAGGGGATTCCGTTGGTGGAGGGAGGCAGCGGCCCCGGCTTCGCCACGGTGACTTTGCAAGTCCTTGCTCTGCTGGTGCGGGACGGTGGTGGTCGCCCAGAGAGCAGCAGCTGCCCCTTCCCTCCGTGCGCCATGTTGTCCCAGCCCCTCTCTGCCCCGCCCCACCGGCCAGCGTGGAGGGGCGCCCCCGCCCCGGGCTTTTAAGAACGCCGTGCACACATCCCAGAGATGGGCCTGAGTCCCCGTGCTCACTTGTGCATGTGTCTGATGATTCCTAAATGGGGAGCAAGGCTGCACACGCTCCCGGAGGCGTCCAAGTCCCTCTCTCTCTGGAGCTCCCTGCACATCTTCTCCCTGATTCCACAGGGATGTCCTGGAGGAGCCGGCGGAGGAGGAGCTGATGGAGAAGCTGAGCCATCACCCGCACCTGCAGCTGTGCAGGTGACATCCAGGTGCACCGTCCCGTGTGGCCTCAGGACCCACGCCCGTTGTGGGAGGAGGCGGCTGCAGCCCGGAAGGAGTGACTTTCCCTTGGACGGATGGACCTACTCCGCCCGCCTGAGGCTGGGGCAGAGAGCGGAGGCCCTGGCTCGCCGCCGAGCCGAACCACTAACTACCACCAGCTTTTCTTTGCGGCGGGGGGCCGCCTGTGCTCTGCGTGGCATCTGCGCCACACCAGTCTCTCTCTACGCTGCTTCGGGGAGGCCTCTCTGAATACTGGAAGAGCATGACTCCGAAGGGACCTGCAAGATCGTCGGAGAAGCAGGAAGCTGTGGCCTGCCTTTCGGGCTCTGTGATTTCCGTGGTGCCTTCACTGCTGGCGGCCTTCAGGGACCAGAGGCCCACCCGGGGCTTGCACAGGCCAAGCGGCAGCTTTCCAGGGCATTAAGTTTGGGATCCTGGTGGTTTTACATGAGGAGAATCTTAACGGTTTTTTTATTTTATGGCTTGTGTGCGTGTGATTGCGTGTATTTCTTTATGGGTCAGAATGCCAATGATTTTTCATCCTGAAGTCTTGCAAAGAATGAGGTCGTCATTCTTATTGAGACACAATTCCTGCTTCTCTGGAATAGGGTGACCAGGTAAGGTTGTTCAGGTTGTGCACTACATACCTGGCTGCATGGGTGTGTCCAGCCACTGGGATGTGTCCCCAAGGCGAGGGCTATCTTTTTCTAATTTGCATAAAGGCCCGTATGAGCCGGTGGTGGCTCTCCTTTATGTGTTCACGGGATGTGTGGCAGAGGAGTCTAATAGGTCAGGGAGGAGAGAACGTGAATAATGTGTGTGTGCCGGCCACATTGCCGCTTGAGCCACCATGGGTCCAGATTCACATGGTTTTCTCATTTCAAGGGCCAACTCGGGTGGTGGGTGGGAGCTCCTGGAGGTCTCTGTTGAGGACTGGAATCCTCATGGACAGTAATGCTGGGATTGATTAGTGATGTCTGCTGTGGGTACTGACTGGAAGGGGGTGGAGGGTAAAGAGAGAATAGGTGCGGACTGCACTGTGGGAAGTGGCCGCCTCCGTCTTCCCAGCTTGTCTGGGAGGTGGCATTAGAGGAAAGTAACTAGAAAAAGGAACTTCTAAAATGTCAGGAAACCCCAGTGCTCCGGGTTATGTTTAACGTATCCACGTACATTGTAGTTTCTGATCTTGGAGTTCGTCTGAGATCCTGGGCCTTGACATGCTTACCCCTCAGATTTGGGGGATCTTTGGGCATAGAGAGGACACTTCCAGACCTGTCCCCTCTGCACGCTGCCTTCCAGGAAGGCTGGTTTTGGGTGGGGAGCACCTCGTGGAGCAGTGGGTTAGAAGTCTGCACCCAGCTTGCCTTGGCAGAGCTCTGCTCACCCTGGGGACAAGGGTGAGGCCGCCCTGGTCAGCCGCTGGGTGCCCCTGCCATCCTGCCACCCCTTCAGCCCCTGCCTCCAAGGTCTGAGCGCCATCTGATGGCAGGATCGGATTCACGTGTAATGCAAGCTGGAGCCCATGACCCTCAGGAGGAGCTCCCTGCTTTTCCCAGGCCAGCTGGAGGTGGGGAGCCTGGCCTCACTGGGCCGCAGACTCGGCCACCTGCAGTGAGCCTCGTTCCAGTGGGCACTTGCCAGGTAGGATGTCAGGTTCTCTGCCCTGCCTTGTGTACGTCCCTGAGGGTCTTCTGCCTTCCCGTTTCCTGGCGTGTGTGCAGAGCAGCCCCCTCTGATTATTACTGTCACATGGCACAGAGTTCTGGATGACCCACGTTGGACTCTGAGAGACTTCAGAGGCTGGTTCTGCCCTCAGGATGGGGTAACCAAAGCTGGGGGTCATCGAGCTGGTGTCTTCCAACCACAAGCTGATGTCTCTTGGATGCCTTGGGGGGCACGGACTGTCCCCTCTTTCAGTTTCCAAATGGTGTTGGCCTCCAAGCCTTTGTCTCTGTGAGAAACAGGCTGAATTCACGGTTGAGTTGGGGCTCAGGTTTTGGTTAAGGGGAACAGGGCTGCTGGGGGTCTTCAGGTCTGCGGGTGCTCCCGGTGCCCCGCTTCCTGTTCCCACCCCAGCCGGGTCCTGCACTGGGTTAGACCCATTTGACAACACGTGCTCACGTCTCTCAGATAAACCTTGCAGCTCTGGTGGGGCTCATGTTTTCTGTGGCTGTGGGGGCTCTCTGGTCACCCCTCTGTACTCTGGCTGGGCAAGGGGTGCAGGGGGCTCAGCCCTGCTGGACCCTGGAGTCCCCCAGGGCTGTGCAGGAGTCTGGGACACCTGGAGTGGTATTACTGCCCCCGGGGAGGTGGGAGGAGGCGACTTGGCTCAGGGGAGCCCTGTGATTTGGGTCAGGCTCCGAGGAGGGCCCTGTGCATCCACAGGCCGGGGAGCCCTGGCCTGGGTGTCAGCAAGAAGCTGAATGGAGGCAGCTGGTTTGGTGGAGGGGGGCAGGCCCAGGGGGAGAAGGAAGTGGGGTGCCCACTGGGGAGGGGCCGAGGGTGGGGAGGGTGGTGTGGATGTCTGTGGGTTCTGAGCTGCACACGCCAAATAGCAGGGCCTTGGCTCCTAGTCTTCGATGGCCCTGGAGTGTGGGCGAGGCAGGGACCTGGGTGGGCACCCAAGCCCCAGCCTGCCTGGGAGGCCCGAGTCCTGCCCAGCTAGCACTAGCAGCCTCCACGTTGCGGGGGAGGGTCTCACTTGCCTCCTGCCCAGCTCAGGGCCATCAGCTGCCCCGGGCCTCTGAAGGTGAGCTCCTCCCAGGTCCTTCACTGACCAGGAGGGGAGGTGAATGGGCGGGGGCCACCTCCTCTCCCATTGAGCTTCCCCGTGGAGCCCCCTACCCCCACTGGGGAGCCCCTGGAAGGACACAGTTGCCATTTCTGGGGCTGGGGGGCGGGGAGGGCAGGAGTTGGCTCATGTTTAACAACAGCACGGAAGCCGCTGCGGACTTCGGGAAGAGTTGCAAGATTCTTCCGTAATCAGTGGAGGGGAAGTTGTGGTTCTGGGGCCCTTTGCCCTCCATGCTTTAGGGAGGGCCTGCAACAGACAGCACGCTAGGATGGGGTCAGCACGGGCTCCTGCTGGCTGGCGCGCACCACGTTCACGGCCGTTCTGAGCCTCCGGTTTGGTCCCTCGGGCCAGGTGACCTTGGCACTCTTGAAGGTCAGCCTGTGACTGGGAAGGTCCCTGGGTTAGGTTTATGTGAGGTGTCCTCATGGGCTTGATTCTGCGGTTTTTGTAGCAACAGCCCAGAAGTGCATCCTGGTGGGTGGTGTGAAGTTTCGCTGGTGCCCGCTGTCGTTTGGTTGGCGGCGGCTGCCGGGCTGCCCAGCGTAAAGTTGCTCCTTCTCCCTTTGCGATGAAGGCGGTGCTTTGAAGCTATGTGAGCACCCAGCTCACCAAACTTCCTTCAGCTTCTTCTCCCTCCTGTGTTCATCTGCACACACCATGCTTCCTTCTGTTCGGTGGGTTATGTGTCGGCTGTTGCTGTATTTTATTTCATGCTCAAATTCTCCCTTGGCTAGTGGGAACCACTTCATCTAGCTTTGGTGTCCATTTGCTAGGTAGGTACCTGCCATCTTCTGAATGCTTCCTTGCTTTCTGGCATGCAAAGATGTTCTGGGCTCATGTTGCACCTTCTCTGCCCCAGCCCTGGAAGCAGCCGTTGCTCCAAGGGCCCCTGCTCCTTTAAGCAAGAATAGCACCTAGGAAGTCCATCCCTCTGTCTGTTGGTCCATCCATCCATCATCCATCTGTCCATCTATCCATTGGTCTGTCTGTCCATCCGTCTGTCCATCAGTCCGTTCATTTGTCTCTTGATCTGTCCATCTGTCCATCCGTCTGTTGGTCCATTCATCCATCCGTCTGCCCATCCATCCATCATCATCCATCCATCACCCCATCTGTCCATCCATTCCTTTCTCCTTTGTTCTGTCTGTCCATCCTTCCATCCATCTGTCCATTCATCCAGCTGTTCATCTGTCCATTGATCTGTCCATCCATCCATTCATAAGTCTGTCCATCTGTCCATCTGTCCATTGGCCTGTCCATCCACCCATCCAACCTATTGACAACTATGAGATCACAGTCCTACCTCTGTTTTCAAACCAACACCACAGGGCACATCTGGTTTTCTCTCTGTGTGGTTGTAAGCCCTTTTTTTCTGAATGGTTCCCATTCTCCTTCGTCTGTGCTCTCACTTGATTAGTTTTCTTGTAAATACTCCTCTCCCATCGCCGTTGCCACCCCCTCCCCACAGAGATGCCCTTCTTACCCCGCAGGGGCGCCCTTTGGATGCCTTCCAACTGCAAACCTCCAGGAAAGAGCTTTCTAGGTGGAGAGATGGTACTGTCAGCCCTTTAAAATTAGGAATAGCAAAATTGGAACCTGGCCAGCTCATTACAACCAAATAAGTTAAAAAAAGTAAACATTAGAAGAAATGTTTCTCTTTATTCACAAATAACATGATTGTCCATAGAGAAAGGCTAAAATTATTAAACAGTAAGAATTCAGCAAAATGGCTTGCTATAAGATTAATACACTGAAATCAATCGCTTTTCTAAACATGAGCAGCAAAGTCTGATAAGTTTCTTTTAAAAGATACCAAAAAAAGTACTATTTGCATGAGAGTAAAATCTTCAAGGTCCTTAAAGATACATTGAGCAAGAGATGTTCAAGGCCAATATACAGAAAACTAAAATGTCATTCAAGTCCAGGATTGTGGACTTGAGGGGAGCATGCTGGGTATCCAGTTGCCGCATGGTGGCCTCGGACACTCTGTGCTTACCCGCTCGTGGCTCTGTAGGCCTGGCTTCGCTGGGCCCTCTTCACGGCAGGGCTGGGGCTTGCTCCACCTGGGTTCTCTGGGAAGAGCCCTCGCCTATGCTTATTCACGTCATCAGCCGAATTCTGTTTCCGAGGCGAAAGGGCTGAGGCTGTAGGTAATAGCACTTGACATGACCCCATGTCCTTGTGGACTGTCCACGGAGGGCCGCTCTTAGGAACTGGAGGCTGCCTGTGTTCCCTGCCACGCGGCCCCCAATCCTCAGTCAGCAACGGAGGACCTGCTGCAGATCCCCAGGACGAGCCCTGACCTCTTACAGACTCACCTGGTTAGGTCAGGCCCACCAGGATACTCACCCTTTCTTGAAGTCAGCTGTGTCGTCGATTGGCACCCAACCCCAGGAGTGACTGTGGCATCATAGTCATGGGTCCACCCACACCCGGTGGGAGGAGTGTATACAAGGGTGAGGGTCACTGGGGGTCATCTCAGAATTCTGCCTACCACGGTTGTGCTGGGTCATGGCCAGAAAGTTTATAGTGTAAACATGTCCGTCTTCTCCCAATTAGTCCATAGATCTGTTAAAATTCTAACATAATGCTGATTTCTTCGACAAAGTTTGATCAGCTGATTGAAGAATTTACATGAAGCTTACATGCAAAGGTAGCCGTGTCACTTCTATAGGACACTATGGTTGAGGACTGCGTTCTGCCGGCGTTCTGGACTCACGGTGAAGCTACGGTGACCAGGACGGCCTGACCCCGGTGCAGGGGCCAATGGAGGGATGGAATGAAGAGCGCAGAAATGCCAGCAGCGAGGGGCTGGGGCAGCTGGGAGGCCCCGTGCACCCCCGGGGGCCAGAGGGGCCTCGGTCCGCGTCCGCGTGGACTTTCTGCCGGGCGCCCGGCAGGTGCAGAGCCGTGGTGGCCGTGGCCGAGCTGGCAGCTGGATGGGGTCCAGGACCTGGGCCGGGTCTGTCGCCGGGACCTGGGAGTGGGGTCTCAGCGAGCAGTTTGGGGCCTTTCATGTGGTCTCGTCCGCTCGGCACAGCAGGGAGGAATCTTGTCTTTCACCTAAATAGCCGGGTTTGGTTTTCTGCCTCAGAGATAATTGGTGGTTCTTACTACTAAAAGGTTAGAACAATTCATTGTTTTTCTAAAAAAAAAAAAAAAAAAGTGGAAGGCAGGCACACCGCACTGCTCTTAAAAATTGAAGAAGGGGGCGTGGGGCTCCACAATGCCCCTCACATCAAAGTGGCAAGCAGACGCCACGGGCAGGGTGCGGGCAGCCCAACCCCAGCCCGCTGATCGCACCGGGGGCCCCAGCCATTCTGGTAACACAATTGGAGCCGCACCAGGGCGGCAGGCCCACACCTTTCAGGGACCTGGGCAGCTTGGCTGTTGCCCTGGGTTTGACAGCAGTTGGCTAATCCGCATCCGGGCCCCGGCAACACCTGTCGCCAGGTGAGCCAGACCCGCCTTACCCGCCTCCCTGGCCTTTCCTTTTCTCAGCTAATGGGCAGGTGGACGGGGGCCCACTAGCACTGGGCTCGGTGGCGGAAGAGACCATCCCGTAGCTGGAGGCATGGGGCCAGCAGCTCTCAGAATCCCCTGGAGGAGGCTTGTTCTAATAGCGTGGGACACAGCCCAGGCGATCTGATTTGGGTGACTTGGGGTGGGGGGGGCTACGAACCTGCCGTTCTGATACGTTCCTAGGGGATGCTGCTGTGGGCCCAGAGACCAGGGCTGGAGAACAGACGGCTCAGGCAGAGTTAGCTTTTCTCCCTCCTGTTTGCTTGCTTTCCCCATGGTTGCTGTTGGTGAATTGTACAATACTTTGCGGGGGCAGTTATAGAAAGGACCCCTTTCTGAGTGGTCCCTTCTGGGCAGAGGAGTCAGGAAAGTTGCTGGCTTCTCTCCGGGCAGGCAGACTCCAGGCAGCAGTTGTCCTCCCTGCCGTCCCACCCCCTTTTCTGTTGCATGGGTTCTGGGTCTGTGCGCAAACTGCACAACTGGACATGGAGAACCTGGCTGGACCCCAAGCCAGATGAGAGCCCTGCGCAGGCTTGGGGGAGTGGGTGTGGCGGGCAGGGACACCAACAAGGGCCCTGGTCCTGCCTCCATGGGGGTCCCACCACCCTCCCCTAGCAACATGACCCTACACTCGCTCTCCTTGCTGCTTCCTCGCCTGGTGGGGCAGTGGGTGTTTTCGTTCCTTCCTCTGCCAGGCACGGATGTAAAGTGAGATGAAAACAGAGAAGGCTGGGGCCAGGAGCAGGAGGGAGAGGCTGCACGTATGCCCAGGGAGGACCCATTCCTGCTGCCGGCCAGCGCGGGGCTCCCCGGCAGCCTTTAGGACAAAGGGAACAGGTTTCGGCCAGAGGAGGCCCCGGGCCGCTGGTTGGTGGGAGGCCCGGCTGGGTGGGGCTGGGACCCACAGCCTCGCTGTTGTCATCCTGTTTCCAGGTCTCGTTGTGGGGGCCCCACGATTGGAAAGGAGGTGGGGGGCTGCTGGCCCTGAGGGAGCTGATGTGCTGACCCCAGTGCCTTTTCGAACCTCAGACCTGTGGTTCCATCTCGGAGCTCCTTGTAGGTGGGGAAACTGAGGCACAAGACAATTAGGTTTTTTCTTTCCCCACTTTTGTGAAAGCAGCAAACATGTAAAGCATTCTCGAGAGGCCAAAACAGCAGTGATAATTAAGATGACGAAGAGCCACCATTTGAGTGCTGGCTCCCCACGTGCTTTTCCGAGCACTTTACGAGGCAGGGTGTTGGCTTGTTTCATCCCATGGAGTCACGGGCTAGGGCGGCACTGACAGATGGGGAAACCGAGGCACAGGGAGGCTGAGGCCACCTGGCTGCTCATGGCATTGCCTCCCCGTGGCCCGACCTCTTCTCTGTGTCTCCTGCACCCCCCCGCCGGGCCCGTCAGTGGGGGACGTGAGTGCCGCGTGCCTGAGACAAATGTTTGTAATATTTGTAGTCACCACCGCAGTGTCAGATCGTCCTTCCCTGCACACGGGAAGGGGGACAGTCCCCACGGGACGTGGGGAGTGACAGGCATGACCAGGGCTGCTTCGGGGGGCGGTCTGGGCTCCTCATGGCTTTCTCCCCACTTAACCACTACCCAAAGAGGCTCTGGGCACCCGTTCTGGGCTCCACCTGCCACACGCCGTGACCTTGACGTGCGGTTAGCCTTCCCAAGCACCAGCTCCCTCGATGGCAAAGGAGGTGGGGCGCTGCTGGCCCTGAGGGAGCTGATGTGCTGGCCCTGGTGCCTTTTCAAACTTCAGACCTGTGGTTCCATCTCAGAGCTCCTTGTAGGTGGGGAAACTGAGGCACAAGATGATTTTTTTTTTTTTAATTTCTTTTTTCTTTTAGGAGCCCGTGCCGACAGGCGGCAAGGCGGAGTGTGCACCCAAAGCTGTCATGAAAGCAGGTTCCCTCAGCCCTTCTGCTGTGCCAGGCTCGACAGAACCTTGGTTTTTATCTGACAGGGCTGACGCACACCTTGCTCAGCACACAGCACGCGGTCCAGTCCGGCTCCCCGGCTTTCACGGCTGCCCCAGTTCGGAACATGGAAGCACAGCGTACTCTGCTGGTCAGTCTGGAAGTCCTCCCCCGTGTCCCACCACTCCCGTGCGGGGAAGGAAGGAAGATGTGTGAGGGCAGCCCAAGGGCCTTCGGGTCGAGGTGGCGGGTGGTGTCCCCCGATGGTGTGTGCAGAACTGAGCAGGGTGGGAAGAAGAGGGCGGTCCCAGCAAAGGATGGCGCCCTGCGGGGTCCTGGGGGCGGCTCGGGGTTGCAGTCACGCTCCCCCCCGCCCCCGGGCCTCCTGCTTCCCGTCTGGCCCACCGAGGCTCGGCCCCCACAGCGGGACCCTGGGGAGAGGAGATCTGGGGCAAAAGGCGCAGTTTCCCAGGAGGGGACCATGTTCAGAGCCGGCTCCGGGTTCTCTCTGGGTTTCTTGGCCGCTCGTCTGCTGAGTCCCCCCCACTGGCCCAGCACCTCCAGTGACAGGGGCTGTGCCTGTCTGCAGGTATGACGCTTGCTGCTGGAGACCCTTCAGACCCGTCTCCACACAGCTCCATCACAGTGTCCTCTCGCCCCCGGCGTGACCCGCCTCTGGTCCCGGGAAGCCTCTGGCGGTCCTTGCCCCATGGACTGGAGGCTGGGGTTGCTGCCCTGCTGTGCTGGCCTCGGTCACTGTCCCCAGCAGCCCTCGAGGTGACCCCGAGCCCGGCACGGCACGTCGTGTTGGCAGCTGGGGGGGCTGCACCACGGTGGTGAAAGCCCTACCCCTTCCCCCTCTGGGCACTTTCCGTCTCCTGGGAGTGAGAGGGCTTCCGCGTGGGGGGCTGGTTTTTATCCGTTTCCTTGGTCACTTCTCTTCACGTCGGAAGGGCTCCATCTTGGGATGTCACGCCTCTTGTGTTCAGGCGGAAGGTCACTGGTAGCATCCCGCTGCCGTGTGTTTGCTCGAACCTGTTGATCTTTCCTCTCGATGGCGCCAGCGTGGGTGGTTTGTCCCTTTGACTGCGTTGCGGTATTTCAGACTCTCCTGCAATGACTTCTACACTGAGAAAGGTGTTTAAGGGAAGAACAGGACGTCTACCATGTGCCCCCATATGCCCTGGCAGGAAGTGGATTGTGGGAAAAGTTGGCACGAGCTGCTTTAAAATAACCCGGAAAGTTCTTGATTGGACAGACGGTTGACATTTGTCACCCTTGTGATGCCAGGGGTCCTCGGGCAGCTGCCGAATCTGTGGCCCCTTCTTAGAGAAAGGTCTTCGAGCTGTAACCTAAAACATGTGGAAATACAAGGAGAATAATTATATTGAAAAACTGCTAACACAATATTAATAAATCCAAATGTGGGACAGAGGAGATCCACAACCTGCCCCCAGTTTAAAGCAACATTTTGAGATGTGGGCACAGGTGGCCACGTGATAGGAAGGCAGCTGTGATTTCTGCTCAGGAAGGGCAGGAGGTCTCCTCGATCCCTGGTTCGTGGCCTGGTCCGTGCTGTGGTTTGGTTTTCCCGCCCAAGTGCCCAGGTCCCCAGAACCACGGAGGTCCCTGTTGATTTCCTGCTGGGACTCCCCGCCTCCCACCTGCCCTGAGTTATGGGGGCACAAGTAACTTAGTTCTGGTTTCGGCCAAGGCTGGGGCTGGCGGCCCCACCCCGCTGCCGGGAGGCCTCCCTGGCGCCCCCATCAGAAGGAACCCCCTCCAACTCCCACCATGTTTTCTGTCTGTTCCAGCACTGATCCCACCCATGTCACAAGTGGCTGGGAGCCTGTGAGCACCCAGGGTCCTTGAGGGTCTCAAGCCTCCTCCATCCCAATAAATGAAATAAACCCCAACGGACATGAAACCCAAACTGAGACTGTAGCGCAAATGGATCTGTGAGTCAAGAAGGGACGTTTTGTGGTTTCATTTCAGTGGCTCCCAAACGTGGGCTGCATCAGAACCCCCAGGAGGCCTGTGGAACCCAGATCGCTGGGCTCCACTGGAGGGTCTGATACAGCAAGCCTGGGGAGGCCAGCCTGGGAATGTGCATTTGTAGCCTATTCCCAGGTGATGCTCACACTGCTGGCTAGGGGTAGGCACTCATTGGGGGTGCCCCTCCCCCTGTACCGTGGGGATCAGTGGAAGCCCCCCAAAGTCCAAGTCCAACCCCCGTGCCTGTGAATGTGAGCTTACATGGAAAGAGGGTTTGGCAGGTGTAATTATGCTAAAGATCTTGAGATGAGATCCTACTGTCTTTGGAGTGGGCTCTAGATAGAATGACAGGTGTCCATGTAAGGAGAGAGCACAGATGTGGGAGGGCCCACGTGACCACGGACGCAGTGGTGGGAGGGATGGGGCCACAAGTCCAGGGACACCTGGAGGCTCCAGATGCTGGGGCAGGAGGGACCCTGCCCCAGAGCCTCCAGAGACAGCGCCCTGCCCACACTTTGATTTCTGACTTCTGGCCAGAAGTGGGGGGGAATCCATTTGTTGTTTGCAGTCATTTGTCACAGCAGCCCCAGGACACTCGCACAGCCCCTGATGAGTGCTAATTAGTGAAGGTTCTTATTTTTGCTGAGCTCCACGAGGCCTCAGGTGACGAGCTCCAGACCTGTCTAAGGGGACCAGTGCTCAAGGGAAGAAGCAACGTGAGCGATGTCCTGCTCCGGCTTCCCTCTCTTCTCCAGGAGGAGACCCAGAGCAACTTCGAGAACACACCTAGGCCCGCACTGCCCGGGTCCAGGGCTCTCATTAGGGCTTCGGTCCAGGGACTGCCAGAGAGGGCATCTCCTTGGGCTTGTTTGGAAGTGGAGGCTCCAAGCGAGGCCTGGCTGGGGAGGCCAGCTGGGCGGGGGCTGTGCTCTGGCGACTTTCCTCGGGGCCATGGCACGATCCTAACAGCCCAAGGCGGGGGTCCGTGGGGAGGCATGCGGCCACATGGTGGGGAGTGATCCAGCCACCCAAGGGGCCACCAGCCATCTCGGAGTGGCCACCCGTAAGCCAAAGTGTCCTGGGGCGGGGGGGGGTTGCTCCACACTGACAGGTGTTCTGATCGACAGCAGAGAACTGCTGTCGTAGGTGGGCAGCGGGCTTGGAGGTCACAGGGCTTGACCCCAGCTCTGCGGAAACCCACTCTGTGGTGGCCCCTGACTTGGAGTGGAAGTAGCCTCGAGGGGCTGTGGGACTCAGAGAGGTCGGGGAAGGAGAAGGAGGGAAGCCTCTAGATGGGACCAAGCAGCACCGCCCACCCCCCTGGAGGAGATGTGCACAGAGAGGCAGCACCTGCCTGCAGACCCATCACCCGAGGATGGGCTTCGATGCCCCAGCTGGGGAAGGGCTTCCTGTGGTCCTGGCTGTCAGTACCCCGGACACCTGCGAGCCAGCTTCAGTGACAGGAAATGCGGGTTCTTCATGCTGCCCCTGCTGGCAGTGGGCTGGGGGCCCCAGAGGTGATTTGCATACAGGTGAGGGCCCAGGACCGAGGCCCTGGGTGCCCAAAGGCAGGGCCAGGTAGGACGCACACACCTGGAGGGAGGCCGCCGGGTGCACACGCAGTACCGGAGCTGGCCAGCAGGGGGCATCAGAGCTCCAGCAGCCCGTGTCCCCTCAGGCCGGGCCTGGACCGACCCTCCCTCCCTAACTCCAACCCAGGCGGGGGAGGGCGGGGGCTCTTACCCCGTCTCGAACTTCCCTCCCTTCTCTGCAAAGGTGTGTCCTCCTGCCACAGACCTCCTCGACGCCCCAGGCCCGTGCTGGGGACGTCCCCCGGCTGCCCCAGCCTCGGCTGCCTCCGCAGGGTGCTCTCATCACTATTTTAAGTGACCTGTGTGCTGCCAGTGTCCTGGGCCTGCTGAGTCCGCACAGACATTTGCTGAACTCTGGGCTCCGGCATGGAGGGCCCCCCGGCTTGTTGTCAGCTGGGCCTGGGGCTCAGGCACCATCATGCCTGGTTAGCAGAGGGACGGGGCTGAGCGGTGAGTGTGGCTACTCCGGCCCCCGGGGTGCCGGACAACAGGCGGTCCAGGAGACCCTGGGGGGGCCCGACGACAGTCCGGCTGGCTCAGCTCCTGTGGGTGGGAAGGGGTGCACCCAGGCCCTGGAGGAGTCGGCTCAGGGGTACCTAAGACATAGCTAGGACAACAGGCCCTGAGGAAACAAGGGGACAGATCCCCTCTCTTTTCCGTCCACAGCCGGCCCCTCCTGCGGCCAGGTGCTGCGGGGACAATGACAAGGAGGGGAGTGGAGGGGGCCTAAAGCCACATCCTTGGAAAAAATGACCAAGTAAGCCTCTGGGTGCTGGGCCAGCCTCAGAGCAGACCCTGAGGGACCCCTGGCTTCCGCTCCCTCTGTGGGGCAGTGGGCCATGCACGCCCATGCATTCTCATCTCTGCTTCACAGGGGGCAACTGAGGCTCAGAACATTCTGGAATAGCCCCCTCCTGCCCCGGCCCCCATGCATGTCTGGGCTGCCTGCTTCCAGAAAACCAAGTGCTGGCCGCCGTAAAGGACCAAAGGAATTACGGTTATTTCAGGGTCTGCCCGGGGCTAAGAGCCACCCCAGTGAGGACAGGGAGACCAGTATTAGCTCAGAACCAGGGGCATCTTGTCGCCATCGGAGTGTCTGAAGGCGGTGTGTGGCGATGGGCTTGTGGAAAACGGGCGGATTCTCACTCCAGAGCCCCAGGCGGGCTGGCCACAGGCAGGGGACCAGCCCGACATGAGGCCAGCTCTCGGGCTCGAGGAAGGCCTTGCAGGCCCCTGCTCTGGGAAACAATCTTACTCTGATCAGATGGCTTTGGCATTTTTTTGAGATGCAAAGAATGTGTCTGGGGACCCGATGGTCTTGCTTTCCACCGGGCACATAGTTTTGCCGCATAACTAAAAGGCAGTGACTCTGCTTGACCACATGGCAGTGAAGGTATGCAGGACGCGCTGGCTCTCTGCTCCGGCCTGGCGGCAGTGGACAACACACAGGGGAGGGGAACTCCAGGCCGGACACGGGGGGCGGGGGTGCGGGAGGAGAGAAGGGTCCCTCCTGGCCAGAGGGCCACGCTCGGCTGGCTGCGAGCAGGGAGCATGCCCCAGAGCGGCCCTCCTTCAAGGCTCCGGGATCTGCGCTCCTCGGTGGAGCCTTCTGGCACCCATTTTTCTCTTTTTTTCCCCCCAGAACAAAATTCAGCCACATCCCCAGTTTATAGATAACGTGGCAGGAACAGGATGTACACGTGTTGGGGCAGGGGAGTGACCGGCATGGCCCCTCCCCCAGACACAGGGGCCTGGGGTGTCGTACTAACTTCCTGGGGCGGCCGTGACAAGGTGCCACCGATGGGGCGACTTCAAACAACAGAAATTTGGTCTCCCCCGGTCTGGAGGCCAGAGAGAAATCCGAGATCTCGGTGTCAGTAGGGCTGCCTCCCTCTGGAGGCTCTAGGGGAGGGTTCTTCCTGCCTCTTCCAGCCTCGGAGGGCCCTGTCCCGGCAACCCCCACCCCCGTGGCCACGTGGCCACGTGGCCCTCTCCCCTGCGCGTGTCTTTCTTCTTCTTGTAAGAACACCGGTTATTGGATTAAGGGCCCACCCTCCTCCCGTGTGAAGACCCTACTTCCACAGAAGCTCACACTCAGGTTCCAGGTGGATGTGAATGTGGGGGGGACACAATTCAACCCCGCAGAGGGGTTTTTTTTCTCGGATGAGCATGCACCAGCAGCAGCTCTTTTCCTGACTTCTCATGGTGGGTGCCTCAAGCCAGGCATGTCTCCAGTGGCCCCGTCCCGGACATTAGGAGGACAGAGAGCAGAAGGGGTGCGGGAACCAGGGGACGGCAGCAGGGGTGCGCTACGGTGTCCCGTTTGGGTTCTAATCCTGGTCTTGCCAGTTGGTAGCTGTTTGGCCTCAGGTGAGTTACTGAACCCACTTGGGCCTCGGGGTCTGCGTCTGTGAAATGGGTCTGTTGCTCCTCCCCACCGGACTGGTGTCACTTGCCGATTCTCTGAAGCAAATGGGAAGGACAGAGACGAGATCCTTTGCGTGAGACCGGGAGCAGGGTCTTTGGGAACAGCTGCCGCCCACTGGCTGCATAAACCCGGCATAAAACCTTGGTTGCTCTCTCTGCAGAAGGGGGTGGTCCCTACCTGGCCGGCATGCGGTGAGTAAAGGTGAGAGGTGCGCGCGGGGCTAACCGTCCGCACAGCTCAGCCCCGCCTGGTGTGTGGCCCTGGGCCCCCCTTGGAGATGCTCAAGGAGGGTCTTGCAGATTCTGTTCCCTCTGTTCACCTGCCGACTTCGTCCCCAACACAGGTTTTGTTGGCATTGTTCGTGGCCAGTGCCATCAAGACAAACCTGGGGGACGATTCTGATTATCAGCCACATCTGGAGATGAGATTGGCCATAGACGGGCTGTGGCTTAGTCTGGAGGCTGGACTCCGCGGCACAGGCAACATCCCGGAGCCTTCCTCTTGGATGCTGGGCCACGCGACATCCACGGCCACAGAGCCACCAGCA